TAATGTCGGTTTTGTTTGTTTGTTTTGGATTTAAACATCATTTTGTTAATGATTCCAATATGATTTCATCTTATACTTTATGAAAATTCAATATTGTTTTCATTTTTCTATGTAATTCTTTGTGTTGTTTCATGCATAAACATATTTGCTACTGTCCTGCTGCATTTTGTGTCAATCACAGCTGTACTTGTCGATTTTTTTGCAGTTTATCGCTTCGTGCTTAACTTTTGGCAGTGAGTGTAGATTTAGTTTTAGTTTTTTATTATTTTTTTTTTATAATTTTCATCTCTATTTTATATATTAAAAGCAAAATGTTCTGTCACTGCCACACACAAATAATGAAAATTTAAAAGTTAATTGGATTTACAATTTGAACATTTCAAAACAGCTTTTAAACGGTTTTTAAAAACATTTTAATTTTCAATTGATTTGGTTTCTAATTTTGGTTTCAGTTTTCAGTGTAAAGGCTAGAGTTTTTATTATTATTTTATTATGTTTAAATTTAATTATTATTTTTAGGTTTATTTAGTACTAGCTGGTGTTGTCTGGGTAAAAACTAACAACAACAAAGATTAAGATTATTAGATTGTGGCTGATGGTCATGATATTGTATAGTTGTATATTTTATTTGAATTAATCTTAGCCTTCTTTCCTGTTTCTTTGTTCTAAATTCCTTCTAGAACTTTCTTGTCTAATCCTTTTGCCCTTGGGTATGATTACTGTTTCCATTAAAATAAGTAGAACAAAAGAGGGAGTGAGGCCTTGGGGCCAAACGGACAGAGAAGGAGTCAGTCTGGGTGAGAATCACGAAGAGGTAGGCAGAGAAAAGGCAGTGCTCCAGAACTCGAGAAGGATGATCAGGGACTGTGAGGTGCCAAGGGATCGAAGAGAAAGACTAGGGATAGAAAACCTTGACAAAAAGTGACAAAGCCAGAAATAGATGAAAGGTCTAGAATAAGAAAAGAGTCACGAATAAAAGGGATCTGAAGTTGTGTCCTACCCGAGAGCATGTTGCTATGAAAACCCTAGTATTTCTATTCCTTTCCTTATCCTTTCCTATTCCTTCTATTTTATCCATCTTCCTTAATTGTAAGATAGTTGTAAGTTAATCAGGCCCGTGTTTGATTGTTGCGCGTGTGAAAGTTAACTATTTGGAGGACATGTATTTAACGCCTATGTACAAAAAATTTATAAAGTTGTAAAGTTAGGATCTGATGTAAAGAACCTGTTCAGAGAGAATTAAAATACTTCATGCTGCAAATAATATTAAGTGGTTTTTTTTTTTTTTTTGACCATTTTGCTTGTGGAATTAAGTACCTCTCATTACGAACACCACAAGATTATTTTGAACTTATATTATATTATATTATTGTATTTGATTTATATAACTATAAACGTTATCTTACGTGAGGCTTTATCACACCAAGTGACCAATCTAACACGTTTTAAAAATTCTTTAAATTGTGTACAGTAGAGGAATAAAGAATTTTTAAAATGAGTTAGATTGTCTGTTGGTGTGATAAACCCTTACTTGAGATAACCTTTGTAGCTATATAATTCAAATACTATAATATAACAAACATTAAAATGAAATCCATATAAAGAATTTGGTTATTTCAGCCTATCATTGTCATGTTTATTGCAATACTTGGATGGTATGAAATGGCACAGTTTAGTTGGTCAAGTAGACATCAATTGAAAATGTGATATCTTAAATTTTTTCAGATGTCATATTGTTTTCTAATGTTAACTCTAAAAAACTGTTCCATTTACAACCAAATATCAAATAGTAATCTTCCAACGAATCAAATTTCACAAAAAATGGACCAAATATTTAAAGTCAGTACCTCAAAAACCACTTAAAACATTTTGTGCAGGCTTGTATTATGTAATTTTCTTATTTGAATGACATCATACCACTGGTTCAATAGAAAGATGGGACTGTTGGAAAAGGGAATTGAAGTAATTCAACCAAAAGTAGTCATTGACCTCCTCCAGCAAGAGAGGGTGTTTAATGACTACTATTAATACTGGTCCGCTATTAATATTTGAAAAGTGATCTGTGTTGGATAGGTTGTGATAGTTTCACACATGATCAAAGTTGCTCATCTTAATGTCTGAAAGTTTTTGTATGACTTGTTTAAATAAAAAAAATTTGTAAAAATGCCAGAATAATTGCTTTTATGTGATAATGAAGTGTTTATATTTTTGCAACAGATTGCATAAATACATGGGAAGTATGATGCATTTATAGAAAAACTATTGGGCTGCAATTTGAAAAAAATTGCAGACCTATAAATTCTGACTGTTATCCATCTGTTTGTTTGTCTGTCCTTCCTTCGATTAATTAATCAATTAATTAATTAAAGGAAGGACAGACAGACAAAGATTAATTCATTAATTAATTAATCTTGAGAAAGGAGTTAGATAGATGAAAGTTTAGACCAGATATGTTTTGGGACAGGAAGTCCAGATTAACTATATAAGAATTTCTAGTTTGGACTGGAAGTTATGTTACTTCAATTCAAAATTTTCCCCTGAAGAGAGTCAGATAATTGGCATGACTATTGCTAACAGGAAAAGTATGATATACAGGAGGAAGACACCAGTAAAAGAATTGAGAATATTATGACGGAAAATTGCAGTCTGGCTTTGTTACAATGTCACAATAATAAGTTAGATTTCAATCTTGCTTTTACTTTTTTCATTGTTTTTCTATTGACTATTTAAGATGAAATTGCTATGGAAGCTATAATAATATAGCTTCAATACTGCATTTATAACCATTAATGCTGATGCCAGTGCTATACTGGACTGAAATTAAAGCACACTTACATAAAACAATTATTTCATTTTGTTTATGTTGTTTATAAGGAATTTTTTAAGCACAGATGTATGCAAATGATTGTTTTATTGTTTATGTTCCATACTATTTGATATATTTAACATTATTGTATTCTACAGTGAAATGTAAGTGTTGTATTATTATTTTATTTTATATAATTTAAACTTATTTCTCACTTGAAAATCTGAAAGAAAAAAAAGGATTATTTCAGATATTTAATTTCAGTATGTTTCTTTCTAGGACAAACTTATGGACAAAAAATTCATAGTTCTAAATATTCTACTGTAGCTCTTTTGACTGAAACTAAAAATGTACCTTTATCAGCATTCACTTTAGAACTGGAACATGCATTACAGCCTATTGGTAAAAAATTTCTATAATTTGTAAACATTTCCTAGTTGAAATATTAAATAAGAATTAATTAAATCAGAATATAGGAAAACTTTTAATATCATGGATTATTCTTTTATCTGACACCTGGAAGCAATTTATTACTAATTGCATAAAAAATATTAATTTTTTTAAACAAAAATTAAATTTCAAATATATACAATAAATAAAATATAGTTAATCCTCAATTTAGCACCATCATTGGTTTGCTTTTGACTTCACACTAAATTGATTTTGGCATTAACTTCAATAAGAATTTACTTCAAACAGAATTAAATGTAGTAGTGTGATCTATACACAAGTCTTAGTTTCATGGTCCTTAAGTCATGTAGGTTTTTGTGAAAATTGAGGGTGCTGCCAATTAGAAGGGTACAATATTGAAGTTTGACTGTATATTATTTATGACTCATTTATGTAAATTCATTGGATGTACAGGAAATATCTACAAAAGCAAATATTTTAAAACATTTTACTACAAAGCAATTTTTAAAAAAATTAAAAAAAAAAGAATAGAATAAAATTATAACATTTCAAGTATTATTTGATTATTAATTTTCTTTTAAATTATTTATTGTTGCTGTACTAAATAGTGATTTGGAAAGATTAATTGGTATTAGTTTGAAATGTATTTAGGAAATTCAATGTAGAGTGATTTCTGAAATAATAATTTTTGTTTAATTACCAATGTTTTAATATCTTTAATTTAGATTAGAATGCAGGAAAAATTTAAAACATTTTCTGATTTTTTTTTTGTAAAATAATTATACTTCAAATTTTATACCAACAGCTCATTTTAATTATAATCTATATTTTACTCTAAAGTTTTTCTTGCTATAAGAAAAGCAGGAATAAACTTCTCTAGTCTGACATTAAATTATCAGTTCCATTACACAATTCAGCATTATATGAATTTCTTAAAAAAGTGATGCATATATCTAAAATTGCACATTTAGATTTTTGTCTGAAATTTAAAATTAGGAAATTTTTTGTCTATTGCAAATATTTAATTCACTTATTTGTTTTATGTAATTAAAAATGAATTTAATAAACTGTTCTAAAAATGTTAACATTATAAAAATTAATTCCTAGCAAGAACATTGAGATTAACAAGTGATTTCATAATAAGAACATTTGGAGATACAGCATTGGATAGGTAAAAGACTTACATTTATATAAATTTATGCATTTCATTGTAAAATAGTTTCTATTAACTTTACACTTTATTCTTTTGTTACATTTGTTTGTTTTCTATAATGTGAATATAATCTTATAATTATTTATATCTATGTCATCTACCAAAAGGATATACCATATTAATTCTAATAAACAGCATTCTCTATTAAATTGTACAACTGCAAGATGGTAAAAGTTATAAATGGCATCCTCTAATAAGCACACTGTATATTGGAGAATGATAAGGCTTATTTTAAACTAAAATATTGCACAGTCTATTCAGCATTGTTACTCTTACCATATGTTGATGTAAAGTCTGTGTGTTGCATGGTGCTTCAATGCTCAAATAATAATAAAGTGAAAAAGTTATTGGATTTATTCCTTTAATAATCATCCTTAATAATAGTCACACCTAATTTTCAAAAAATAGGAACAATAGTTGCTCTCTAATAAATAGCACAGTTGAAGCTGGAAAAAGTTATAGACAGTGTACTGTTTATTAGAATATTTGCACAGATTATTACAAATATATTGATATTATAAAATGTAGCGGATCTAATATCAGATGGAACTATTTGTAAAATTACATAAAAAATATATATAATATAAAATATTATATATATTATATA